CATGGTTTGTGAGCTCGAGTCCTGCCCTGGGCTGTATGCTGACAATGCAGAGCCTGCTTGGGATTCTCTCTCTCCCTCTCTCTGCCCCTCCTCCACTTTCTCAAAAATAAATAAACATTAAAAAAAAAAAAAGAAGATAACACAGAAAGTTGTAGAGGATATTTAGTGAAGACAGTGAGGATATAGGACATTCTGTTGTGACTATGAGTTCCAAAGCACACAAAAAAGGGTTTTGGAAGTTAAAGGGGAATAGGGAGATGGGAGAAAGTACTCAGTCACCTGGGAAGAGAGTCTGGAGAATAAAGGTTGACTAGGGAGCTGGGTTTCAGATGGTGACCACATAACATAGGGATAAAAGGCCTAATGAGATTACATAGATATTGAAGGTAAGGCATGAGTGTTGAAAAAGAGAGAGGTCTTGACAGAAGCATGTTTCAAGGCTCTCTTGTTACTCCTACCAGTGGGGGTATAGAAGCCAAGAGAGGAGCCATCTTACCCAAGCACAAATAACTTTGGAGATTTCTTTCCAAACCACTTCTACCTCCATCTTCCACATGGTTCCCAATCCCTATAAGTGAATAGTAAATAGGTTTCATTTTCCATGGCTAGGGAGTGACTGCCTAAGAACACCATGGCAGGAACAACTTCAAGACCATGCCCAGATTCAGGAGAAAAGGCAAACAGCCACGTCTATGCCAGTCTTTGCTTTCCCTAGTTTAAGGTAATTCCCTGAAGTTCAGTTCAGTTCCTAATTCTCTGTAACACTCCTCACATTGCGACCTGCCTCCTAGCCACTTATACAACCAAAACGTTTTAAAGACTTTGACCTATATCACTTCACTTCAGGCTACAACCTCTCCCCTTCTTGACAGACTTTGATTCAGTCTGCTGTACTGTCTGCTAATGATCCCAAAGTCTCCTTGTCCAGATAAGACCTCATCCCTGAGCACCAATTGTCTGCAATTGTCACCAGGGCTTTGAGTACATCAGATGTGCTCTTCAAACCTTCCTGTCCCAGTTGGCACAGCCCCATTTTCCCTTGTTCAACTGGGGAACATGTCATCTTCAACCCTCCCTTTTCTCCCATCTCATCATTCACCACTTTCTATGCATTCAACCTCTGACATTCCTTAAATCTGCTCCCTCTCCTCCCTCCCCACTGCCTCTGCCTTGTTCACATCTGTCTCTTCTCTCAAGCAGACTTGGGAAGTACACTTCAGCTCCCCTTCCCACAGCCATCAGAGTGACCTTTGCAAAACACAGCTGTTTCTCCCTTCCTTAAAAGGCTTTAGTGGCTTTACGTCACTTACAAGGTAAGATCGAAGTTCTTAGCGCTTGACACACAACATCGCATATGTCCAGGTACCTCTCTCTCTTGCTAGCCTATGACCACCACCAGGACAGGAATGTGGACCTCCTTTATTTTGAATTCCCAGTAATTGCTTAGAGATGCAGAACACACTCAATAAAGGTTAAGTGATGTAAGCAGGCAAAGGAAAGTATAAAAAGCAACCTTGTTTTGGGGCGCCTGGGTGGCTCAGTCGGTTAAGCAGCCGAACTAGGCTCAGGTCACGATCTCGCGGTTCGTGAGTTCAAGCCCCGCGTCAGGCTCTGTGCTGACAAGAGCCTGGAGGCTGCTTCAGATTCTGTGTCTCCCTCTCTCTCTGACCCTCCCCCACTTGCACTCCGACTCTCTCTCTCTCAAAAATAAATAAACATGAAAAAAATTTTTTTAAAGCAACCTTGTTTTAAAGACCCTCTCGTGTCCATTGGCATGAGATGATTTTCCACAGCTCTCACTACCAGCTCATTCGTTTCTTTTCTTGCCACGAATAGCAGAAGTATAGAAATCTTTATACTGGACAATTAATAAGAGATATATGAAGGGTGGAAATGGGGTCTTGATACAAATTTTCTAACACTGGATTCTGGGTTCGCCATTCTCCAGGTGTGTAACCTTGGGCAAGACACTTAACCTCTATGACCTCTTAACCGCTGTAATAATAGTACCTGATTCAAATGGTTGTTCAAATGGGAATTAAATGAGGCAGTGTTTAGAAAGTGTTTGGCATAGGAACTGTTCAGTAAACAATAGCTCTGGTTGTCACTCTGAAAGAGGTTGCATGCAAGGTTCATTCATTGATAACTGGAGGCATTATCCTTGTTAGATGATAAGAAACATGCATATATTTCCTAGACTGGGGGAAACATGTCTTTCCTTTTTCTGCAGAGTTCAGGCCATACATAGTCAGCCTGTGAAGGAGACTGGGAGTTTTTGCCTCTGGTCTCCCCAGCTTTTCTTTCCCAGTGTTTTCTACACCTTTGTCCTCTTCCTCCAGGGTCCTGCTGCTCCTGGAAGAGAGGCAGGAAATTGTACAGCCCTCTGTAGAAATAGGCTCGTGTCTAGTGGGAACAGGTAGGCTATCTTATTGACTTTCAACATTATCTTAGAATTTTTTTATTCATGTGTCCTAGCTATACCTTAACCCAATTGAATAAATCCATTCATTTCAAACTTGAGCTCCATTATTGGAGCAAATACCTTGTATTTTGTATTTGGGTGTTTTTGATCCCTAAGGAAAACAAGTTCATATTGTTCAAGCTAATCATTGAAGAATTATACTTTGTTAACTATAAATATTAAAATAGGTATATAAACGACTTTTGTCATTGCATTTCTTTATATTTTAATATATTGGATTCTCAATAAAAATGACTTGGGAGGCAAAGGTCTCCTTTACTTTTCTCTGAGAAGCCATAGAATGAAGCCATCTACAAAGCAATTCTTTCTTTTACTGATAATAATGATAATAATTATCTTTTGTAACATCTCTTCAATGAATTTTTGTGTTAAAAGATCTACCCCCTTTTTAAAAGAGAGGTAAGGACGGGGAGAAAAAGAAAAGGAATATGGAGGAACCACCTCGCCATCACATAGTGTATGAAATGACAATAATCATGAGCCACCTATTCCGCAGATTACCGGGGACATTACACATGATAACACAGGCAAAGAACTTTAAAGGGTTAAAAGCACAATCATGAAAGGCAGTCCACTTACAGTGTGCTCCAAAGACCATTTCAATCTGTGAACTCTTTGTTTTTGGTCCATGGTGAGATAAATATGAAAATTTGAAAGCAAGCATTTAGAAACTGTTATAGAAATTTGACAAACTCATTTTCTGTCTGTTGAATCAAATAATAAAAGATTTGGGCTTGTGTTTTGTGTCTGAGTTTTTACTTCATTTCTAGTAATTATTTTCATTGTACTTTACAAAGGCGAAGAAAAACCTGTCCTTCACCACACATAGTTTGAGAAGCATTGATAAAAGGTATTATTATTTCTGAAATTTTGCTTAAGAACCATTAAATTTCTAATTATAAACTAGTTACATGTCATTATTTGAGAAACACTGCTTCAGACCAAGTGTAAGGAGTTGCCAGCATTCAGACAAGTTCCAGAACAAGTTTGTTTTGTATTGGGCAACTTGGTTATTTAAGAGTCAGAAACCACTTTTCTCATGAAATAACGTAAACCCAGGGTTATGTTCTTGGTGTAGCCTAGAGATCTGTTATCTCAAAAGATTGCTAAACTATACCATAACATTTAATAACAGATATATACTACAACATTTAGTAACCGGTCTTCTCCATCCTTCTACAATGGAGAAGATAGACTTCTGATTTCCAGATCAGAAAATCCCTCTCTTCCCCATCTGTCTGTGAGAAATAGCGATTCCCAGCCTTAGCTTAGAGGTGGATATGGGGTAAGAATGGGGGCTACTTCTGCAGAAACTCTTTCGACAGCGACACTCAGCACAACACTCAGCAGGAAGAAGAGTATGGAGATACAGCACTTTTACACAGAGTGATGAGGGAATTAGACTGAGTTTCAGGGAACTCACTCGTCGTGTTAATAACATTAATTGAAAGTTTCTCCAAGATTTTCTGAGATTGAGATTATGCAGGTTCTGCCGAACTTGAAAGCTCTGGTTCTTTACAGCAAATATCTCTATCCTAAATCCTGGGGTACTGTTTCTTTTGTGGCCCAGCACCTGTTGGGTCTCAGCCTCCTCCTGAATTGAGATTTGTCTGTGCCAGAGGGACCCATGACACATGTCTGTTCTTTCAAAAGACAACTGTTTTTCTCCCTACCATTCAATATAACCTAATATCCTGTAGGACTGAATCAGGGAAACACACATACAGAAGGAGAGGAGTTTTGGTTTTGGTGGGGGGAGGGGCAGATGAGAAATTAGCATCTGCTTTTATTTACAGGTTGTTTAAGAAAGTGATGTTTGTTGAAGATTGGAAATTGTGATGGTTTCTGCCTACACGCTGTAGGATGGCAAATAAACCCTGGGAACCATTGGAAGCTTAGTTCAGGCATACTTGGTCTGTCTCAATCTGAACCAATAAGCTTCTCTTTTACATTTGTTTTTCTTTCTTTCTTCATGTTATGGCTCTTAAAGTAAAAGAAAGCAAAAAACAGTTTTCCCATACACTGAGCTGAGATCAAAAAGTGTTCAAGTCTGCAGGCCTCGAGCCCAGATGAAGGATTACCAGGAACAGAATGTCTCTTTCCTTCCGTCTACACCCTGGTATAATGAATAGTGATTCCAGCATGAGGTTATTCACAAGACAGGACTCTGTATCTTTTCCTGTAATGAAAAAGAATCTTTAAAACTGTATCTAGAAGTTTCCTACTGGGATAAGGAGTAAGGAATGTCTTTGAAGACTAGGAAAATGAGAAAGGAACGCGGGCTGCCTGAGGTCCTTGGGGTTGTTTGTTTGGGATAGGAGGCGAAGGAATTCCAAATTTCACGCCCTCAACCTAAACTGGGGCATCCTGGGAAAGCTTCTGGGGAAGCGGGTGGTGACAAAGGCCAAGGGCCGGGCCGAGGGCGGAGCCGGGGCGGAGCGCGGCCGGAGCGGGGAGGCGGGCACCGCCCACCGTGCTACCCGGCCAGCGAGAGCTTGGCGGCGCCGGCTCCCGAGCCATGGGGAGGTTGGTGGCTCTGAGCTTGCTGGGGATAGCGCTGGCGCTCCTGGGCGAGAGGCTCCTGGCGCTCAGGTAGGTGGGCCCTCGCGCACCGAGGCGCCGGCGCGCGGCCCGGCTGTGGAACGCCTCCCCGAGCTTCCCCCGCGCTCGGGTCCCCAGGCCCGGGTGGCGGCCGGCTGCGGGAGAGGGCGCAGGCCATGCAGGGATTCTCCAGCTGCCGGGCAGAGAACTCCGGGTTGTTCTCAGATACCCAGCTTGTGAAACACCTCCACCCCCACCCCAGCTTCTAGCAAAACCCAACGCAGTTTGGGCTGAATCTCGAGACTTTCTGGGAAGTTGAGGAGCCCCAGCGAGTGCTTTGCAAGCACTCCCAGGCAAATCCAGCTCTTTAAACTTGGAAGCAAAACTATTACTCATGCACTGAAACTTTCATTATAAAGATTTATTTCAAGTCATTGGTGCTGCTTCTCTTTGTTGCCCAAACCAGCCTCCTTCTTTAATAAAGTTGTGCACCATCCCTCCCCTGCGTAAGTTTGAGAAACTTTTCATCTTTCTAATCTTGGCGCTGTGCATCAAAGATATTTGAGATATTCAGCGACTGGTCTTACATCACTTCCTTATTTATCTCCACTGAGGAACCCTGAAGCCAGAATGTCAAACAGCACAAGCCTAGTGCATGTCCCAATTTAATTATAATGAAAATCACGGATGGGTAGACATCCTAGTTTCTAAGTTACCAACTCAAATTTTATAAGCCTCGTGCAGATGGATTCCAGAAATACTGAGCACCAATTCTGTATGGTGTGCTGTGTTGGGCTCCCGTAATGGAGTCAGGCACTGTCCTCACCTTTAAGAAGTTCACCCCATTACTGGGGAGAAGAGAAGTAAAACAAATGTATCAATTTGGGTGTCCAGGACGGGTACAAACCAACCCCTGCAGGCTTAAGGAGGAAAGATGGAGCCCTTGAAGGTGGAGTTCAGGAGAAAGAGACTATTTGAAATTGGTCTTGAAGGATGGGTGAAACATACGTGGGGATGAAGGAGGCCATCCCAGATGAAAAACGAAGCATGAACAAAGGGGAACGGGTGGGGAAGTTTGGAGATTAGCAGTAGACCAACTTGAGGGGAGTTAAGGGGTCCAGGGTAGGAAAGGTTTTGAGATGGTTAACTAGGAGTTCAAAAATTGGGGCCTGCTTTGATAGGCAAAGGAGAACTATTGATGTTGGCGCGTGTGTGCGTTTCAACAGGAATCTGTTTAAACCATATAAAGCATAATCAGTGGCTGTGTTATAAAGCATAGTTAGTTGTGCTACATAGAGACAAAGCTGGAAGGACGGATTGGAGGAGAGCAGTTCTCAATCCTGGCTGTATGTTAGAATCTCCTGGCAGGCTGATGCCTGGGCTGCACCCCCAAAAATTCTGATTCAGTTGGTCTGAGTGGGGCCGAGGCATGAGTGTTCTTTATTTTATTTTATTTTATTATTATTTTTAATATTTATTTATTTTTGAGAGAGAGCGCACATGAGCATGTGAGTGAGGGAGGGGCAGAGAGAAGGAAATAGATCTGAAGTGGGCTCCAACTCACAAACTGTGAGATCACGACCTGAACTGAAGGCAGATGCTTCACTGACCGAGACACCCAGGCGCCCTGAGCGTTTATTTTAAAAGATTCTCCTTATAATTCTAATATGCAGTTACAATTGAGAAGTAGTAGAATAGAGAGTAAGCAGATATGGGGAAACTAGTTAAGGTATTGCAGTGGTTTGGAGAGAATAACAGAACAGGGGCCCAAGCCTGAGCCCCAGTGATAAGGGGGAGGAAGTCAAAGGTGATACCAGGGTTTCTGTGTCTACTGACCTATACCTGGAGCTTTATCTGCTGATAAAGGGGTGCAAGCTGGGGGAAGTGTGTGACGGAAGAATTCTTACTGGTAGGAAATGGACGTGTTGGCCTTAATTTTCATGTTACATAAATGCCCAACTTGCTCTGCAGGACATTCTTGAATTGAATGGTTTTGTACATTCTGTCCAGCTCTCAGTTTCAAAGGCAGTACCACTAAAATTCACAAGCTCATTAAATTGTCCTGAACTTCAAGCCATCAGTGTTCCACAAGCTGAAGTTTTCCCAAATCATGGGTTTTTCTTCTTACCAATCTTAAAGTTTTAAATTTAAGTCCCTTTAAATGAGTTATAGTTGCAAACCTAAGAAAAAGTAAATGAAGCTTATTTACATAGAATGCACCTTACAGGTAATTTACAATTTAATGCATCTTTTCTTTAGAGAGATTTGACTGTAATAAATTTTACCAAGCAGTGACTTTCTAGGGTGGTAACTTCATCGGATAGTTGAAGCCCTCAATCGGCTGATGTGAGAATGTTAGGATATGTGATAGGTGGCTAGATTTAGAAAATAACACAGGATGCCCAGTTAAATTTGAGTTTTAGATAACCGACGAACCATTTTGTAGGATAAGCGGATCCTATGCAATATTGGGGCATGATTATACTAAAATATCATTCTTTATTTGAAATTCAAATTTGGGCATCTTGTCTTTTATTTGGCAACCGTGTGATTGTGCCTGCTCTTGACAGATACAGGTGGGGTGCTCAAATGCATAGCATCTCTCCTTTCAGACCCTTAGCGTCTATTTTGAAAAGCAGCATGTTCCTACCTCCCCATAAGGAAAGGCCCTTCAAAAAACAGGCTTTTCTTTTTGTTTTGGTTTTTTTGCTCTCATCTGGTACCAGCTATTTCATTGTTCTATTTTTAGAGATGGCGCTTTGGCACTCAAGTTATTTCTCTCCCCCCAGGGCGCCCACTTAAATTTCAACCTGAATTTCAGATGAACAGTAAATAATTTTTTTTTTTTTTTTTTTTTTTTTTTTTTTTTTTTTTAGGATAAGTATGTCCCAGATGGATAAATGGAATCCAAGCTGTCTCTTTCCTTCTGAACTGTAACTGGCCAAAGTTCCCAGGGGAGGATGGCATATTACACCCAACTTTTCTACTCCTCCCTAGTTGAGCAATAAAGGGGAAAATAGAAAGACACAAATTTCCCTGGGCCAGTTGCTACCTGCTGCAAAGTACACATACTTGAATGAATCATGAGACTTGAGTACATCAGAGACCTATGCGTGAGCAGGAATCCCCAAACAAGCATCTGAATATTCCGCTTGTTGCATGATAGATTTTATGACAGCCGAACCAAAAAGCTATCCAGTCTGCTTTTGGACTCTTCTGAAAGTTCAGGTTTTATTTTTAAACTACCATCCTCCTTATCATTTATTGTGTGACTGTTGTGTGCTGATCACTGTGTCAAAAGTTCTTTATAGTAAACCAAAATGTACATTTACTGACATTTGGAAAGAACTTCCTTTTACATTTATGCCTCCATTCAGTCTTCATATATGTCTTCTTTCCTATATTATACGTGTTAAAACTGAGGCTGAAGGAAGTCAACTAGTAGCTCAACAGGTAATAAGTGCTGAACGTAAACTCCAAACTAGGTCTTCTCATTTGCCCCCTGCTTCCCCACAGCCTCCTAGCTTTTCTGCCTTTGGAGTAAATAAATGACTTACTCCCAGCTTAACATGACTAATCACAAATTCTTCGTTACTAAGTACCAGCATTAAGGGGACTCAAGGGGTGAAAATTCCAAGAGGTTTTACAAGTCTGTATACAAAAGATAAAGCCCCTGTTTGTCTATATTTAAGCCTGTACTTAGAAGATAAAGCCCCATCAGTGGTTTGTAAATTCAAAGGCCATGAGATATGGAACAAAGTAATGCCAGGTAGTAACACTGTTTTCCTAGTTTGCTGAAGATGAGGCAATATAATAAACTGCCCCTATCTCATCCTGTTCTGGATGGCTAATGCTGTTTTCCTAAGTGAAAGAAATAGAAATTGATTTCATGGTAATGACTGTTAGTTAAGGGTTCATGCTCTGTGGCCTAGATGGCCTGAATTCATTCCTTAGCTCCACTATTTACCTGGGACCTTGGCTTTTTATTTCACCTTTCTGTGCCTCAATGTCCCAATCTGTAGGATACTCCATAGTGGGGCTATGAAAACATGAAGTTCATTCTTGTACTTGTAAAGTGCTAAAACAATGCCAAATACGTAGTAAGTGCTCATTGAAAGTTACCTGTAATGACAATGTTCAGGCAGGGTTCTTAGACTTTTGGGCCATAGATCTGTTTGGCAGTCTGGTAAAGTCTTGACTCCTTCTCAACATTATGCTTTTATTTTATTTTTTAATTTTTGTGTGTGGTGCCCCTCTTTTTTTTTAGTTTTTATTTTAATTCAATTTGGTAAACCTGCAGTGTTATTTTAGTTTCAAGTGTACAATATAGTGATTCAACACTTCCATATATCACCCTGTGCTTTTCACAAGTGCCTTCCTTCATCCCTATCACTTATTTCACCGATCCCTCCACACCCACCTCCCCCTGGTAACAATCAGTTTGTTCTCCATAGTTAAGAGTCTGTTTCTTGGTTTGTCTCTCTTTCTCTGTTTTCCCCTTTGCTCATTTTTTTTTCCTTAAATTCCATACATGAGTGAAATCATATGGTATTTGTCTTTCTCTGACTTATTTTGCTTAGCATTATTGTCTGTAGCTCCATCCAGGTCATCACAAATGGCAAGATTTCATTCTTTTGTATGGCTGAATACTGTCCCATTGTGTATGTGTGAGTGTGTGTGTGTGTGTGTGTGTGTGTGTGTGTGTGTGTATCGCATCTATCACGTCTTTATCCATTCATCAACCGATAAGACACCTTGGTGTCCATCATGTTTTTAAATGCATAAAATACAATACATAGGGCTGTAAAACAAAATTAAATACTATTTAAAGATTTAAATACTAAATACTTAATTTAAATACTTAAATGCTGTTACCAGCCTATTTTAAAAATCTAGTGATACAACAACGTGGGCTTCTTAATTAAAGCCTTAAATAGATATAAAGGTAGTTGAATATGTAGCAATAGATATTTTGAAGTTGCAGTGAGTATAAATGGTATTTTGAGATATCTACAGCAACTGAAATGTGATGTAACAATGTCTGTGATTTCTGTTATTGACAGGGAGACATAGGTACTGCTGGTAGAAACTTCTGTGGCTTCTTGCCTGCAGTCATCGTTGAAGGAGACTTACTTTCAGTTAGGTTTAAATAAAGATATATATTTTTTTCCCATTTATGTTCATGGATCCCTGAATTTTACCCACGACTCCATAAAGGCCCCTGGACCCCTGCTGAAGAACCTTGATGTACCTGTTTCTGTTAGGGATCATTTGGGAAATGACTGCTGGCTCAGTTGAAGGAAGACCGTGTATATTCTTTGCTGCACTACACCTATCGTATAGTTGTAACTAAAAGAAAAATAACAAAATTTTAATGAAAAAGAAGTGAGAAAGTGAGAAAAGCAGAAGGAGCCTAGAGCAGTAGCGGTTGCCTAGAATATTATGTCTGAGGCTGGCTGTGGGTTAAAGGAAAAGAGTGCTATGATTGATTGACAATGTCTGCATGACAGCAGACAGCCATCCCTGACCTAATTCAGTCACAAGGATGCTGTGGACATAAAGTGTTAGGGAGCAAATAGGCTGTAGCAAAAATGTCACTTATTTGTGTTTGTACCATTTATTTGTTTACTTATTTATTTATTATTTTTAAAAATATATTACTTAAAATTTTTTTTAATGTTTATTTTTGAGAGAGAGACAGAGTGCGAGCAGGGGAGGCGCAGAGAAAGAGGGAGACACAGAATCCAAAGCAGGGTCCAGGCTCTGAGCTGTCAGCACAGAGCCCAACATGGAGCTCGAACTCATGGACCACGAGATCATGACTTGAGCCAAAGTCAGATGCTTAACCGACTGAGCTACCCAGGTTTCCCTATTTATTTATTTTTAATTTGGCATAAATATATTTGAGCTGACTGATCTCCTAGTCCAAAGAGGTTTGTGTAGTTTTCTCATATATACTCCCCAGACTTCTTAAATTGGTTACAGGAGTGTTTTCAGTTGCAAATAACATGCATCAAATTAATTATATGTAAATAAAGGCTTATTTTTCTCACATGATGAAAACTTTGTAGGTAAGTCATTCTATAGCTTTTCCATCAAGCCCGTGGTCATATAAAAAAATTAGATTCTTCTAGTTTTGTCCTTCAATCCTTCACTGTTGGCTTTATGTCCTCATACTTGTCGTGTTAAGGATACTGAATGGTTGGTATGGTCTCAAGCACTGTACGTGTGGTCATATCATGAAGAAGGGAGAAGGGGTGATGCCAATTAGCTCTCATCTTGTGTCTGCATTTTCTTTTTTTTTATAATATTTTTTTTAACGTTTATTTATTTTTGAGACAGAGAGAGATAGAGCATGAACGGGGGAGGGTCAGAAGAGAGGAGACACAGAATCAAACAGGCTCCAGGCTCCTGACGTTTGTCAGCAGTCCCACTGCTGGGCTGACAAACTCAGGGACCGCAAGATCATGCTGAGCCAAGTCGCGTCAGCCGTTAATGAACTAGCCTAGTTGCTGTCTGCTGATGGTCTGATTTTTCTATCGAGGAACAAAAAAGTCTTTTCCAAAGCCATTGGTCTATAGCAGATTTATGCCGTAAACACAAAGGGGGGCTGGGGAAGCAAATATTTGGCTTGTCTGTCTCTGCAGTGGAAAGGAGCAAGGAAGAAAGGGGTTGAGAATGGCTTTAGGGTGAAGATTAGGTCCCACTGTTCCTTAATGAGAAGTTCCAGTGGGTAGGGAACTGGTAGTTCTACCAGGTAAAAAGCCTAGCAGTATTCTACAGAAAGGATGTGAAAGTCTTGATGGGCCACGAAGGTTGGAAACAAAAGCCTATCTTTTCTTCTAAAGGAAAGATAAGAAAAAATGATTTGATTAACCGGAAGTTCTGCACAACTCTTGTGTGACTCCAGTTTTGTTTTGTTTTTTTAATTTAAAGTGTATTCATTTTTTTTTTTTTTTTTTTTTTTTGGAGAGAGACTGGGAGAACAGAGCACATGCACAGAAACTGAAACAGGCTCCAGGCTCGAGCTGTCAGCGCAGAGCCCGACACGGGGCTCAAACTCACGAACTGTGAGATCATGACCTGAGCCGAAGTCAGCCGCTTAACCAATTAACCAACTGAGCCACCCAGGTGCCCCCTGTGTAACTCAGTTTTAATAGTACGCAGTCTGCATTTCTAGAGATGATATTGTACAGCTAAACTAGTTGATGAAGTTTACCCTATTAGCAGTGTGTAATCATCAGTCATTTGTGCAGACCTAAGTTGTCTGTAAAGATATAACCCACCTAAATTGTTCAAACACATCTGAATTGTATTTTATCCATATAGTTTATCTTGGCAATAGGTAGATGATAATCCTCTTCCTCTTTTTGTAGAGTTAAAGGGACATGATAGTAAGTTGTATAAAATTGACACCCAAGCCAATGCATGACACAGAAAGTTGATGAAGCCACAGCTGAGACCTACTGACGTATCTCCATCTGTTTCTGGAGTCATGCAGTGTCCACTGAACCTGAGAGGTCATCTAACCTCATCCTTGTTTTACACATAAAGACGACCGATGCCCATAGAGATTAACCTGCTGATGGTCAGGCAGTCTTGCTGCTAAGGCAGAAGCACAGATCTCTTCCCTCCTTTCTGAGAAAAATACCAGAGTGGGTTAGAGCACTGCCTTGGAAGGTTCTTCCCAGCAGGTGTCAAACCTCAGCAAAGTTGCTTCACCTCTTGAGTCACTTCCCTCATTCCTAAGTAGGGACAAGTGTACCTACTTCTTAGGATTGTTGTAGCAATGCAATGAAGTCATTCAAGTAAATCACATAGAACAGTGGCCGACTCAGTGAGTTTTAACTGTTTTTATTATTGATTTTCTTTTACCACCCATGGCTATCAGCAGTGGCATTCCCATTATCACTCGTATTACTGCCACTCTACTACATTAGGCTAAGTATACATATTTTCCCTTTAAATCACTCCGGGGGTGGGGGGCCTTGGTGGCTCAGTCGGTGAGGCTTCTGACTCGATTTCGGCTCAGGTCATAATGGCATGGTTCCTAGGGTTGAGCCCCTCCTGGGGCTCTGCGCTGACAGATTCTCTCTCTCCCTTGTTCTCTCCCCTATTCTTGCTCTCACTGTCTCTCTGTCTCTCAAAATAGATAAACTTCAAAAAACATAAAATTAAATAAAAAATGAAAAATTTGATCCCTCCGGGAACTTGTAAATGTGAGATTTATTGTATTTTGTCTTGCTTTGCGTTAACATTGTATTTTATGTTTAATTTTCATTACACCTACATATTTTATATGTTTACTTTAGTTACTTTTAATTTTAATTTTCTATTTTATTTATATTTGATTCACTTCCATTTTTATAGCCTTATTGCTATATTGTTTCAAGAAATTTGGATACTATTTGAGTTACATGATTCAAAATAACAGACTGATGAACATTTTAATCAGAAACACTATATATGATATGAGTTGCCAACAAAATATATGGTTGCTACCACCTGTTGGTAATTCTGAGTTAGGTAGGCCTCGACTTTCTGCCATGTTGCTGAGATCGGTAGACCTCCCCATATTTGGTGTCTAGAAGTCAGACGCTGTCAAGGGTATGAATGGAAGAGGGACAAGCAGCAACTTACCATTGTCGTCTCTTAAATGTGTGATATATGTGACCGACTTTGAAAAATGTCAATCACCCTGCAAGCACTCTTAACATTTGTGACTGTAGAGAACAGAAAGAGAAGGGGAGAGAGTGAGCGAAGAGAAGGCAAAAAGCCTATATAGCATGTGGCTTCAAAAGAAGAACTCCCCCACCTGTTTGCCCAAACTGCTTTGTGGCCTTCTCTGGTAGAGGGGGGACCGTTCATTACAGTTTGCCATTTTCTCATGATTTCTTCACTTTATTTTTTGCCAAACAGCAACAGCAAGTAGTTTTGCTGAGGTAATTGATGTTCTGAGAAGCTCTCACCTAAGGAACACTGTGCGGGGATGGGATCTCCTCGACCCAGTTCTTGACAGCTGCTTGTAGGATATCTTCTGTGTGCCTGGCTCTGGAAAACCCATCTTCTCTTGGCCTCCTGTCAGGCACCGTGTCACTTTGCAGAGGGTCTGAGCATTTTCCGGCTCCTCCGGGCCCTCGGTAGGAAGACAGGGCTGCTGGCTCCACATCTGGAGCTCTTCCCACAACACCAGAGCTGTGCGGAATGTGACCTGGTGCTGTGTTTATATTTGCACAGGAACTTGCATTACAAGTTTTATTTGTTGAGTTGTTGGCTTTCTTTTATGATCCACATTCACACATACAACTTTGCGATACGCATTTTTATTTTAACTTCATTTCTGGTGCTCTTTAATGTTCCTACCCTTGTTTTTCTGTCTTCTCTTTCATCTGCTTTAGATTTATGCTATGTTTTATGTATTGCTGTAAGCCTCTTTAAACCCTGTCTGCAACAAAGCAAGGAATACATAAACAGATAGATTTTTTTTTTTTTTTTTAAACAGGAATCGACTTAAAGCCTCCAGAGAAGTAGAATCCGTAGACCTTCCAAACTGCCACCTCATTAAAGGAATCGGTGAGTATGAGAAAATGCTTGTTACACTCCTTACATTGTTTGGCCAAAAACACGAAAAAACTCATTAGCAGTGTTTTGGCACACCACTAGCGTTCATCAGAGGAAAAATCACATTAAGTCAATGAAAAACCTCTTTGGTCAGTCTTTTTTTTTTTTTTTTTTTTTTAATCTCATGCACCTGTATTTCTTTTGTCCCCCACTCTCCCTGCAATTTGTTAATTATTTGTGTAATCCTATGTTTGTTGCTTGATTTCTTGCTTGTTTAGTGACTTTTCTGAACACGTTTTATAAAGTTTATATTCTTCGCTGTGTGTGGCCCCTGGAATCTGTGCTCTGTCAGCCTAGAGGTCAGCTAGTGAAAGTGTCAGAAAAAAGAGAAGTTACAAAATGGAAAATGAAAATCTCTCAACAAAATCTCCACCCCACACAGAAATAACTCCAGAGATAAAGTTTTCCTTATCTTTCCTGATACTTCCAACTCAAATGCAAACAAATACATGCATATTTCACAAACGGCATCTTAATATAAGATTATATTCTGCAACCTGCTTTGTTCTCAGTGGAAGGTGAACAGCTTTCCACATCAACTCATGTAGACCTACCTCCTTCATTTTACTGTTTGCACATACCATGGTTTATTTAATCATTTCCTTCTTGATGCACATTTGGATGGTTGCAGTTTTTTGCAACCACAAACAAATCAGTGAACATCATTGTACATGTAGCTCTTGTATGTCTGTAGGATGACTTGTTGACGGTGAGATTGTTGTTCAGGGAGCAGACGTGTTTTAAGTTTTGATAGTCATTGCTAAATTGCCCTGGATTGGCATTGCTAATAAAGTACTTCATATCTATAACCACATTCACTACAGGCAGAGTTCACAGTGCTCTTTGAACAAAAACAAAGTAGTGATCCTTTTCTGGATCAGACACAAGAAGGCTTCATTTTCATGATACCTATCAGTTTTCAGAGCAGCCTTCTGTACTTCAAAGTTTCTTTCCAGTTGTGTTATTCGCCTTCCCTTTCCGCATCTGTTTTTTATGTGCCCTGTGTCGTATTTTCCATTGTTGCTTTAGTCCACCTTCCTAGTTCTATCTCCCTTGCCTGGACTCCGTGACTTCTTGCTCCTGGGGCTTCTCCTCTTTGTTGCCCTTACCGTTGCCCACACACTTAGCAGGAAGATACAAACTCAGTATCAAATACCACACGGGCAAGATCTGTGCTGGATAATGCAGACAGTTCTAGAAATAAGGTTGTCTGGAGTCCCAAGAAACTCAGCAACTGCATCCTGCCTTCTAGCTGCATTCATGAAGAGCCCCTTCAGAATGGCCACTAAGCAAAAGCCAGATGGCATCTGTGAGGGATGTTGTACAAGGTTGGGAGGGTGAGTCAGTGATTTCGAAGGTTACTCCTGCTACTGAGTTAATAATTGTCAAATTATTAAACAGCCCTTGGCCCTGTGGAGCCCACCTTCTGTGAATTCAAGTCCCAGAGTAGACAATAGGGCACAGCCAGACACATTCCAGGATGAACTGCCAAGTGTATTGCTGTTACAACTCACTGGGATGGAGGGCTCCTCAGAGAAAAACAAGCCCAAAGACATTTGTATTCTGAACAGGCGTCTGTCTGTGTTTGTGACCTTTATGTTGTGATGTGTGTGAGCTGCTGTCTGGAATTGGAAAGAATGAGGAAATATGTCACCTATGGCCCTTCTTGTGAAGTGTTTAATGCCTCTGAGGCACTTCAAAAGGCAACAGAGCGAAGACGATGAGTGATTAGAAGCACATTTGGGATACATTTTTAGATCTAATTAGAATTGTGCTTTTTTTCTTTCTATTTTTTTTTGTTTTTGTTTTTTTGTTTTTGTTTTTGCTTCTGTGGTTAGCACACACTGTATGAACATTTGTTGAATGCTATGTTGGTGATGCATAGTGGTTAATAATAGCATGTAGTTACATGTTTTTAACAACAGTCACTTATTCAGTGGTCTTTGATTATAGGGAATAACAGTGTGCTGGGCATATACATGCCCATACAGGCAAAAGCAACTTCTTATGGTAGGCAACAAGGGTTGAAAGGTTCTCTTTGTCAGTTTCCACTTTGGGAAACAGTAGTAGCCACGCACTTGAAGCCAGCTATCCCTCCAAGAGGTAAGACCACTTTCCCTACACTTCCATCCCCATCAGCACCCACACCCACACACACTATGGTGCTGCATTCACCGTGACTAGAAATGAACTCTTCGCAACTCTTGGGTGCTCTATACATATCATCTCATGTCTTTCTGTTTTAATAAATAATAATCACCTACCACATGCCATACCAGATGTGTGCCTTCTGCGGGGGCACCAAGTAAGCTCAACTATCCTATTTTTTAGTTTTCCTTCTGATTGTATCTTACGGACAGAAACCAGGCTCTTACACACCCATGATTTGGCCTAATATCAACATCTAAATAATAAAAAAATTATAATGACAGGATCTAGTTAAGTCTATTTATAGAGACTTAAAAGCTTAAAACATTTTCTAAATGTCTTTGAAAATGCGGGCATTCAGAGTCCTGGACTAAAAGAAAATTTTGAATGGATTGTCTCTCTTGAGTTAATTAGTGGTTTTATACCCTTGGCAATCAAGACCTTTACAACAAATGCTGCTGGGGAGATTTAAAAGAAAAAAAAGCATTAAAGTTGGTAGCCCTTGTGATCATTTACTTTATAGTCTTCTACGAAAGGAAAACAAAATGTACACTACTGTGAGATAATAGATTTTTTTTCTTTTTTCTCTTCTGTATATAATAGATAAGGACCCAAGACTCAGAGACGTTTGGCAAATTCTCTTTGCAATATAGTATCTTTTCCCAGAGTGACTAACACACATACCTCCCTCACCAGTGAACCAAAAAAGTGGAGAAAAATAGTTACGTTACATATCGGATACTCTATTGGGAATGGCAAGGGCAATGGTGTTATAAAGTTACGCCTAGAGGAGAGGAGAGAGAAATTTATTCCCTTTTACATGGCAGTCCAATCCAAAGATAAGCAAATGGCCTAGGTGATTAGATGGTTGTGCTCCATGTGGCTAATCTGGGACAAAGGTTGATGAAGCAACACAAGTCTCTTCACCATATTGCTGCTTTCTCCAACTGAGTCTCCAACTGGAGACTCCAACTCCAGCTGTTGCCATTTCCCAACATGAAGGGATAGAAAGAAAATTTATGTGGATATTATTTTTAGCTTTAGCTTATTTTACCCAGATATTGCATACATATTGTACTCTCGCATCCTGTTAACCTGAACCTAGGCAAATGGCCACAAGTATCTCAAGAAAGGGTAGAAAATGTCCTTAGCTGGGTTGCCATGTGCCTGTAGCTGAAAAGGAAGATGGGGAATATGGATACTGGGGAGCAGTTAGCCATCTCTGACACAGATAATTACCAAAGATATAATAAAAAATAGATCAAAACCTGATGCGCTAAGTAAGCTAGAAGACTTTCTAGAGCAAGAGGGTTTTGAAAGAGGTTTTAACAAAAAGTACCGAATATGGATTGGGGAAGATCTTGGTAGGAGGAATGGAAGCAAAACGTTTTGGGAAAAAGCTAACATGTGGAACTGACCACAGTCAAATTTACAAAGTAAAGTGTCTTTAGAGAGGAACCAGGGGATGGTTCTGACATAGAAAATTCATTCACTGCTACGTTGTATTTTCTTTTCGTGTGCTTTTAAGTCAGAAGGAAAAGACTTGAGTCCCAGCTTCCCAGTTTGTGACCTTGAACGATTTGCTTAACCATTCAAACGCTCTGTATTCTTTACTCTAAAGAAAGAGATAATAATATTGCTTCCAAGGGATATAGAAATTGTGTGAAATAATGTATGTAAAGTACTTGCGAGGAGTCTAGCCCTTGGTAAACACAATATCTAGTAGCTATTATTATTAGTACTAGTACTACTGCTATTACTGAATTAGAGGAGAAAAAAATTTCTCCAGTATTGACTACGCTTGCAGTAATCACACCCAAGAGGTGATAGGAAATGATAAAATCCTGTTGTAGTAATGGATATAGAAATGAAGATGGAGGGAGTAGATCTGGAAACTATTCTAAAGAAAGCTACAGATAAGACTTACTATTTTTTTTCTTGGAATTAGGTGATGGGATTGCACAAAGAAGTTATGATATAGTTGAAATGAAAATACCTTTCACAAACATTGTTCTTTTCTTGATTACTAAAACGATACTATTATTTGTAGAAAATTTTAAACAAAGAAAAGTATAAAGAAGAAATGAAAATCATTCATAATCCTACCACCTAAAGAACCATTGTTAATTTTTTCTGTATATCCTTTCTTGTTCTATGTGCATAAGCATGTATATGTTGAAATTAAATTGTTTCAAGTAATTTTTCAAGAACAACAAGTTTTATTTATTTATTTATTTTATTATTTTTAAAAAATTTTTAATGTTTACTTATTTTTGAGAGAGAGGAGCAGGGAGAGAGAGAGAGAGCGAGAGAGAGAGAGAGCAGGAGACACAGAATCCAAAGCAGGCTTCAGACTCTGAACTGTCAGCACAGAGCCCAACGTGGGGCTCAAACCCACAAACCGTGAGACCTGAGCCGAAGTCAGATGCTTATCCAACTGAGCCACCCAGGCACCCCACAACAAATTTTATTTAATTGGCTTCCTACTAAATGGGTCTAGAAAGCAAAACTTGGACTGACATGTGCATGTGAGTGTGTGTGTATGTTTGTGTTTGCATATACATACATGTGGCGTAGAGTCCCCCGGTCCCTGCTCATTACCAGTTGAGAACCCTGGGATTAGAGTCTAGTGATTCTTAACTTTTTGGGGCTATTAAAGACCTTTTGTTCAACCTACTGAAAGCCAAGGTTCATCCTTTTCATAGGATTTCTCAGCCATACATCCAGGTGCCATTTTGCCTTCCATACAATTTCAACCAGTTCATAGATTCTGGAACCCATTTGTGGCTCCTTAGGAATCCACAGACCAGGCTAAGAACTCCTCCATCATGCCATGCTTAAAGCATGTGTATGTGTGTGTGTGTATGCATATATATGTATATATGTGTGAGTGTATATATATATATATATATACACTCACACATATATCTTCTTGCCAAGGAGCAGGCATTGCATGTATTCATGATTGCAGTCTTCTTTACAAACTGAAGTTCTTGGCATTTGTATTTTCTTTTGCTTTTCTCCACTGTGATAGAGCCGGCGACACTGGAGGCAACCAACCAAATGCAAACTCATGAATCAAAACCAAAATGGCTGCATAGATGCTGTTTGTTTTTGACAACCTAGAAATAATCTTGGAGAAATCCTTTGGAGAGGTCTTAAAGGGGAAGATTGGATTTTGTGGACTCAAAGAATGTGTCATGATTTGGCTTAATCTAAGCCATTTTTATTCCTCTTTTCTTGTGTTTGGGTCTATTATCTGTCTGCAGAATTTACACAGTGAGACCACTGGGAAGGTCTTATGTCTAATTATTTGCTGTGCTGTGTGGAGTGCACTGAAGACAATCAATAAACAATCAATAGTAATTGTAGCCTGCTCAGAGACAACCGTTAGAAGATTCAGCTGGCTTAGGTGCATGGTATTTTTCATTAATTTTCTTTTGCTAGTTGTTTTCTCTAGTTTAAAGCCTAAATTTAAAGATTAAATGGAAAGCTTTCTTTGCTTATGAGAACAAGCAGACATTGTTTTTAAAAGAGGGAATATATAATCCCAGGTGCTTTATCTCTGTTAATGAGAGAAATGTCTGTGTTTGCTTCAGATTGAATGAGCAGAGAAAGGGACAAGGATATTTGCATGGTTAAATGACTATGAGCCCTTCACTCTGAAAGTAATATTCCCCTGATGTCAATTACTTTTGTACAGACATCTGGATGTTTATCATAAGAGTGTACAGATGTCAGCTTTTTCTGTATTATATCTGGAAGTGTGGTGATTACTTGACTTTGATTTGAGTAAACATAAAATATCTAACATTTAAAGTTAGAGGTTCACTGCAGGAAGGGATTTCGATGGATGTGTATTAAAGAGAGTGCTTCCTCAGAAAAAATTGGAACTATTCCTAAAAATTCAGGCACTGGTAAAGTAAAGAAAGTCCCTGTTGTGCTGTATCTAACAAATAATGGAATTTGAACATAACCTTTATCTGTTTTCTTGGACTTCCAGAGGCTGGCGCAGATGATATTGACATACTTCCCAATGGTCTGGCTTTCTTTAGTGTGGTGAGTATCTCCTTCTTTCCCCAGTCTCAGTGGAGGATGTACAAGAGAGTTTGAGGAGGCCTACAGGACAGGAACTTGTTTTTTTAATTCCTCACTTTCAAAACTATGTTTTGAACAAAAAAGACCATGTAAACGAGGTTTGGGAAAATGTCTTCAAGCTTATCTAAATGTAGAGATAAACAAGTCTTTGCCAGTTGATGAGCTGCTCTTTACGTGCCTACTGCATTGCATTAAAATATTCCAATGCAATCTGTGTTTCAGAAGTTTGTTATTAAAAAGGATATTTTGGGCATTATTATGGATATTCCATACTACATTATGTTCTTTTAAATATAGCATCCATCAGGGTGCCTGGGTGGCTCAGTCAGTTAAGCATCTGACTTCAGCCGAGGTCATGATATCACAGTCTGTGAGTTCCAGCCCTACGTCGGGCTCTGTGCTGACAGCTCAGCGCCTGGAGCTGCTTTGGATTCTGTGTCTCCCTCTCTCTCTGTGTCCCTCCCCTGCTCATGCTGTCTCTCTCTCTCTCAAAAATAAATAAACATTAAAAATAAATAAATAAATAAAATAAATAAAGCATCTCTTTCTTTCCATTAGATCCTCCATTTTAAGCTTATACTCTTGCTGTTATTGTTTATTTTCAAACACTATACTAACTTTCCCAGACAAAGGCTTTTTTCTTTTTCTAGTTTCTTTCCTTTTCCCGCTGAATAGCCTGTCATAAGTGGAAAATAATCAACTGAGTTTATTTATAACCTTCACTTTTGCCTTCATTCCTGGAAGATGAAAAATAGTCACGTTTCTGGGTATACAGTAGAAAGTCTTTAAAATTGACTGTGTTCTGACCTTCACCAGTAGCCTCTAACTGGAAAACTTTGTAAGTGGGAGATGAGGAAGTTCTGATCACCCTTCTTCCCTGGCTTGGGTGCCAGTGACTATCTGTGGCATTTTTGTGGGTTTGGTTTTTCTTGAGCAAGATGTATCAGATTAAAAACAATTTTTTTTAATGTTTATCTATTTTTGAGAGAGAGAGAAAGAGAGAGAGACAGAGTTCAAGCAGAGGAGGGGCAGAGAGAGAGGGAGACACAGAATCCCAAGTAGGCTCCAGTCTCTGAACTGTCAGCACAGAGCCCGACGTGGGGCTTGAACCCACAAAGTGCGAGATCATGACCTGAGCTGAAGTCAGATGCTTAACCGACTGAGCCACCCAGGTGCCCCAAGACGTATCAGAATTTGAAGGCAGCCTGTAATGATTCTGTTCCCTCTCAGCATCCATCGTTTTCAGGCTCTGAGACTCAGATGTGGAAACCATAGAGGGACTTTTGAAGAGTCACAGCACTAATAAAACAGTTGTGAGAGGTATGGGAAAGCTGAGAGAACTTGGCTTAGAGGAAAATGAGGGTTAGAACACTCTTCAGGTTCCTGATAGTTTTTAGGTGAAAGACTGAACAGTTGGTTGTTACCACTGAGGGAAAAAAGAAACATTGTAGGCTTTGGCAGACACACTAATATTTATATGAAATTTAAAAAATACAGTTTCAAAAGACAAGTTTTATTTAATTACCTACACAGAATGAGTAAAATGATATTTCTAGTAGGTCTCTGGGTTGTTTGTTTGGAAGCACATGCTTGCACATATGTCTATAGGCTTAGGAGAAAACACTGGTATTCCTCATCAAAATTATTCATAACTACAGGCGCAAAAATCCTGAGGAAAGTAGAAAGCACTTGCTGAGGTGTGTGTGTGCGTGTGTGTGTGTGTGTGTGTATGTGTTTCTTTTTGGTTTTTGGTTTTTTGTGTTTGTTGTTGGTGTTGGTTTTTTGTTTTTTGTTTTTTGTTTTGCAAAGGACGTGTTCTCAGAGATTTGTGTAATCCAGAACTCACCTGTTTCAAGATCTCAGCCCCCATAGGAATAAATCTGAATTAGGAGGAGTGAGGTCTCCAAGCACATAAATCTATAGCCATTTTCACTAAGGGGCTTAGAATAGTCATAATGATCTTGTAGGCATGTCAACAGAATTTCTTCAGCTTTTTTGTCCTTCCTTGGTGATATGACTGTCTTTTCTTTTTTTCAAATTTAGAAATAATCCCACTTAACTGCTGTTTTTTTTACATTACTCAGCATTGTCTCTACTATTTCCCAGAATGTACTTCTTTCTAAATGAGTAACGAGTAATGTGTACCTCCTGGCAGCTGTTTGTTCTTCCTCCAAGCATGTTAGCCCATGTAACCCATCCTGTTCCACACTTTGCACAGCTGTGGGTTTGAGGGTTACCTCCAGCCCCACATCACCCTTACTGAAGAATTGTATGACACAGAATAGAATACAAAAAAGATTTAAATGACAATGTGAATGCACTTAACGCTACTGAACTCTACACTTAAAATGGTGAAGGTGATCAATTTTGGTACGTATATTTTGCTGCAAGTAAAAATAAGTAAAACTTTTAAAAAGAGGAAAAAAACAGATTTATGTGATGGGCAATATTAAAATAATCATGAATAGTTATCACCATCCCTGCTTTCTGTGCATTGAAATCATGCTCTTGTTTATGGGACAGTGCTCCAAAATAGAAGTGGCACTCCCATGTAGCAATAGTACAATTCCAGTTTTCTGCTTGCTGAGCCTGCCAGCCTTGAAGTTAGAGCATTTTGATAGATTTTTTTTTTAATTGGGGAGAATTCCTGTTATGTTCAATTTTGTACACAAAGTGAGACTTCATTTTTGTACACTCTTTTAAACTTGCATAAAATATGACTGAAAAGATTTGAAAGAGAAAAGACCTAGGTCATTTCAGTGGGTCCCCAGAAAACACTGAATAAAAATGCAACAGTTCGTTCCTGCTTGAAGGATCCCAGAAAACTAGACATAGAAGGTAATTTCTCTGAAACCTACAGCAAACATCATTCTCAGTGGTGTAACATTACCACTGGTGCTACCTTCCCATAAATGTTTAAAAAAGGGACACAGTGCCCCCAAATACTGTGACCATCAGTAATCTACTAGAGCTCTTTTTATTATTTTTTTTAATTTGAAACAATTTTTTTAAGTTTATTTGCTTATCTGGAAAGAGAGCATACGTAAGTGAGGTAGAAGCAGAGAGAGAGAATCCCAAGCAGGTTCTGTGCTGTCAGCGCAGAGCCCACGGGGCTTGAACTCACAAACTGTGAGATCATGACCTGAGCTGAAATCAAAAGCAGATGCTTTAACTGACTGAGCCACCCAGGCACCCCTCTACTAGAATTCTTAATAACCCAATAAAACAAGAAAAAAATAGGAAGTAGAAAAAAAAGTCAAAACTGCCATAATTTTCAGACATTGTCATTACCTGCTTTTTAAACAATCCAAGAGATTCAACTAACAGGCTGTTTGACCTAAGGGGAGAGAGAGTTCAATGAAATGGTTGGATCAGACTATTCAGAATGAACATGTAAAACTCCTCGCCTTCTCATGCACTAGGAAAAAACAAATAGAAAATGCAATAGTCATAAAAATAAAAATAATGTTCCATTCAGAATAGCAACTTAATTTTCAAATTTTATACAGGAAAATAAATGAGCTATATATATATATACATATATATAGTCATGTATATATGTATGTTATAAACAAAGCTATAGAGATTAAAAAGCGGTATATTGGTACAGGAATAGGCATGAGTCCCCAAACAGATCAATATATAAAGAGGGGTCTAGTTCATGATAAAGGCGATAGTTGCAATCAGTGGGAAAAGGACAAACTACCTGCCAGGCACTGCTCCAGGCCCTGGGATCTAGCAGCAAACAAAGGAGGCAAAGTCCTGGCTCATGTTCCAATGGGGAGAGAATGAATATGTGTCAGATGTAGTAGTACTTTTACAAGAAATAAAGGAAGGTGGGGCAGTGGAGAGGGACAGCCATGCTGAGGGTGTGGTCAGGCTGCCATTTATGTACGTGTAAAAATGTATCTATGTCAAATGGCAATAAGTGACCTTTGACAACAGAGATAAAGAATCTAGGAGACTTAGGTATCTGGTGGGGGGTGGGGGGGGTAGCGTTCCTAGGCAGAGAGAGCAATGGATATAAAGGCCCTGAGGCGAGAATGTGCCTGGTTTGTTCAAAGACCATCAGGGAAGCCAGTGTGGCCAATAGGAGATGGGAGCAGAGACCTAGAGTGTTTGCGGTCGAGGAAGGTGTAGGAGGATGAGCAGGGCAGATCATACAGGGTCTTTAGTAAATCATAAGAACGTCCACTTTTTAATCTGAGTGAGATGGAGTTTTGGTCAGAGGCATGACATCCTCGGCATAACTTGGATGCTGATGGGAGACCAGTCTTCCATAGGGAAAAGCCAGAAAAAAGCAGAAAGGGCAGTTGTGAGACTGTTGCCACAATTGCGGTGGTGGTTTGGGCCAAAGCAGTCACGGAAAAGGTCAGGGGGAATGTTCACATCTTTATGAAGGGTTATATTTTCAAGGTAAAGTCAACAGGACTTCCTGACAGATTGGATCTGGGGTGTGAGACAAGGAGGGGAGTCTTGACTGCAGCCATTCACCAAGACTTCAGTCCATATGTAAACTTTCACTTCTCCCATCCTCAACTCTGCCTGGTATCTTCCGGGCCACCAACTTTGTGGTTATCCACTTAAGAGACTATACCCCTGGTCTTGTGCTTCAACTCAGAAAAATCATTTCTTGTTCGTCTTGCAGCTCACCAGCCCCCAATTCCCATTTTTCCTATTGTCTCCTCGCTGCTTTCTTGCCATTTGTAGCTTTAATACCACCACCTTTAATCAAAGGATCTATTTATCTTTTATTTATACTGCCCATTTTAGCCCATAAACACACTTAAGCCTCTATATTTAACTTTTTCCTCTGTTTTGAAAAGGGTTTAAAGTGTCCAGGACTCCACAGCTTTTCCCCAGATAAGCCTGGAGGGATACTAATGATGGATCTAAAAGAAGAAAACCCGAGGGCACTGGAATTAAGAATCAGCCGTGGGTTCAATTTGGCTTCGTTTAATCCACATGGTATCAGCACTTTCATAGACCGCGGTAAGAGCTGATGAGCTACCCACATTAAGAAACTTATCATGGTTTGCAAATGACTGTGGAACATAGATTTGGATCATTTCTATAGTAAGAGAAGAACAATTAACTCATGAATTATTTCTGTATTCTTCATACAAATAAGTTGATCATTTGCCTCTCCAGCTAGCAGCAACTTAGGCTACATTTGAAATTTCTAACAGTTAACACCTGAGAGAATGTTTAGATTTCATAACCTTTTTCACAGACCTATGATTATTGCATTAAAAGAGAGCTATATTTCTGAATTAAACTATAAACAGATTATTCATGAATTCTGTATATGGAGTGGGAAACACTCTTTCTTAAAGGTCAGGGGACCAACGATCAGAAATAACACCAGCCAGACAGTGATGGGAAAGAAGGGGAAGAAGAATGATGTTAGGTCGTCTAACAGTTTATACATTCAACCTTTCCTCGCCTGTGGTATTTAAATGTCAGTGTCTGCCCAGAGGTCCTATGGTTATGTCTTGTAAATTAACTCTGTTCTTTCAATTCTTTAGATGACACAGTTTATCTCTTTGTTGTAAACCACCCAGAATTTAAGAATACAGTGGAAATTTTTAAATTTGAAGAAGAAGAAAATTCTCTTTTGCACCTAAAAACAATCAAACATGAACTTCTTCCAAGGTACTCAGTCCCTTTGTTCATTCTCCGATTTATCTCTGGCATTTCCATATATTCCCCACGATGGTCCTTCTCAGCCTTGAGAAGAGGTAAAATACATGTATATATACGCATACATAAATATGTGCGTGTGTAGCTTCCTTGTCGAGCAGGGAAAGTCATTGGCACTCATAATAATCAGTGCTCTGTGAGGATTCCCTTGAGAAATGATAAAACACTGGATTACAGGGGAGATGCTCTTCAGGGCCATCTTGGGAGTAGAAGACAAACCTCACTGTTTTTCCTGCTGTCACCTTCCATTTCAGATGACTCATCGTCCAAATACTAATAGTTGTCCTGCTAAGGAGGAGTGGCCTGGTTTAAATGAAGTCTGTGTGCTTTGTATGGGACTGATACAATGTGCTTTCACAGGGGTAGTGCTAGCTGTGGGCTAATGGCTCCACAGAACTGGAGGGGTACAGACTGGGAGTGCATCGCTCCTACTTCCTGAAGATACAGCCAGTTGATAATGTGGCCAAAAGAGAATCATGTGTATCATCCCAGCTCAGCGTGCCTTAGCCTACTGCTTCTTTCTTTTTTT